TTCATAGTGCCACGGGCCCCCGTAACAAACTTTATTGCGGTCATCCATCTCCAGGAACTGGAAGGCAAACAGGTTGTTACCTAGCTCCGTGATTTGGTAGCTCTTTTTCAATCCCCACGCCTTTGTTAGGGCTATTTTCATAGACTGAATATTTGGTTCCTTTTCCGACAGGAGCCTCCCTACTAGACCGAGATGGCGAACAGACATAAGCTTTATTTCCAGTTCATTATTGGATAATAATGTAATCCGGGGAGGTTTCCGTTTTCATTCTTCCCTTATGTTACAGAAGGATTAATTGAAGTTTAATTGATCCATATTTAATTGTTCAGTGGAATCAATTACGAGGAGGGGAAGTTTAAATTAATATAATAATTTAATGTTTCCATATGGTTCTCGAAAAGGATTTGTTAATTAATAATACTTTGGTTAAATAATAATGGTTATTATTATTTTATTAATCATTAGTTCAAGGGTTTGCTTTTTGGTTTTACGGAAAGTTTTTTTCATTCCCGTTATGAAGAAGATGACTTCTGCTATGAGAAGGAAGATTCACAGGAGAATTATCCGTGTTTTATGGAATAAGGATGGGTTTCCTGTTAATTAATGATTGTTCTCATTTGGTTTTATCTTCCAGCTTTGGAACTTTTAGTTTTTTTTCTCTCCCCCATTTGTGTAGATTAATTTGATTACAAGTTAATAACGATACACATTAATGATAGATATGTGATGACTGTCAAGTTATTGTTCCATGTGAATAGTAGTTAGTTCAAAGACAAACTATTATTTGACAGGACTTGTTGTCAATATTTTATCTTGCTTGATGGTTGTTGGACCATTAAAATGCACTTTAAGGTAACTTTGTGTATTTCATGCCTCGCAATTTGTTTGAAAACAAGACTAGTTTATGAGGAATATAAGCCTCATTTCAGTAACCAAAATGTGGGGTCGGTTTGAACATTTTAAATCCCTATATGGTAAAGGTTTACATTTTAGTGCGTGCAAATTATGTATTCACTAGCCCAAAGGTAGGTGAATATTTAAGGTTCCATATGTGCGCATAGAGTAATAAATATGTGATGATTATTCGGTTAGCATGTGAAACTTAAATCGGCCCAAAGGTGGATTTACTATTTCATATGTTCTTATCATCAATATTTAATTACTCGATCATAAGACATTACTTACAAGTTAATATTTTGTCCAAAGACAAATATTAATGGAGTGCATTGTGTCTTGAGATGTAGTAAACCGTTATTTTAAATTATTATTGTAATTCTCTCTTAAGAATAATAATCACTTATGTGGAATTCTGTGATTATGAGAGAATTGTCCAGTATTTTAATTAAATTAATTTTAGCAGTATGTTGCCAAAGTAACCTCTACTTGCGAAAAGTTATTTAAATTAGATTACATGGATGTACGTGGAAGGTTATTTTATGTGGGTAGTGCTCGACCCAAAGGACGACATTATTTGACCAAAATAATCAAGCACATTAATGGTAAATACGTGATAATTATAAAGTTGTTGTTCATGTGAATAACAGTCGGTCCAAAGATAGACTGTTGTGTGACAGAACTTATTATCAGTATTTGATCATTGTATTAAGAGTACCGCTCGCAGTTAATTTCTCTGTCCAAAGACTAAGAATTAATGTTGCATTTGGTATCTTATGATGGGTCCCCAAAATTGGATAATTTTATTGTCTTGTTTAATTACATGGCTTAATGTGTGTTTTCTTTTATCTCAATATAGGTTTTTGTGCTTTGGTTTAAATATTTCTGTCGAAATTGAAGTTAACTCTTTTGTTAAATGGGATGAATCTAAAGAATTTAAAGTAAATTCAAGACAATTATTCTCGATATATAGGCATTGATCTTGCGCTTTTATGTGGAACAATCCCTATTCTACTTCAGAAAATCTCAATGAGATTGAATAATAGCGAATAGAGATATATCCAATTCAGTGTGCATGATGATCATTAAGCACTCTATCGATGAATAATTATGGGGCTATTAACTGAGATGCCTCTGAGGTTTATTGAATTAATAATACAGTATTTTGCCAAAACATAAAAGGATCCGGGGTAATTTAATCCATAAAGTGTAAAGGCAAAATGTACAAGTGTATTATATTTTGGAGGTGTCAAAAGGCATACTCAACACTTGGTTTAATTTATCTTCCTCCATGAAGTTTTAGGTGAGTACTAATATTCACAAAAGGAGAGGAGGGAAGATACGAGATGAGACTGAACTCAATCACTAAACCTCAAATTCTCAGTAAAAGGAACAAATAGAGAGTTAAGGATGTTATGGTTTCGTTGAACTCTTAAGGACATGGTGAGGAGTATTTCTACTTACTAGACTCCATTTGGATAAAAGCCATAAAGGTTACAACGTACATCCTTAAATTGAGTATCCAGAAGGTAGTTAATGTAACCAATAAGTGCAATAAGGACCTTGCACATTTAGGGTTGTCCAACTTAGGAAATACCTTATAAGGTACAAGGAGGTATAATGGACAAAAGAATTAACTTATACTTTGTTGGCTACTCAATAGTACTCTCGAGGCTACAAGTTTTAGAATCCCATATCAAGAAGTTTATGTTAATGAGAAATGTGAGATTTCTTGAGTATGTTGAGTTTTGGGGGAGGAAACATAAGGAATCTAGTTACTGCACAAACTCAACACACTTAAGAAGTGCCATTAAGTATATCCACAAAGGAGAAGATGGACGATTCTAGCTAACAATATCGTTCAAATTCTGAAAAGTGGGTTAATGTCATGTGGTGAAGTCATTGAGAGATATAAGGCATGTTGGTCTCTAAAGGCTTTACTCAGAAGGAAAGCATTGACTCAAAGAGACTTTCTCTCTGGTATATTTGAAAGACTCCTTTAAGAATATAATGGCAATGGTGGCTCATATAAGCATCTCATTATTGATATCACAATTTTTATCGTGTTATTAGCTCATTCAGACTTAGAGACTAATGTTGGAGATAACTGTGTATATCTTAAGTTCAGTGGGAGTAAATTCATTTTTCTGTTTTATACATCATGGTTGTTCTACTTAAGGTGCAAGTAGAATGAGTTAATAAACCAGGAGATGTGTTGTAGCTAAGGGAGACAGTTTTGATCTCAATCAGTGCCCCAATTATATATAAGAAATTAAGATACAAAATCTCTTGAATGCATATTTGCATTAGAGATCTAATGTATACTTTAGTTTATTCTCATCCCAATAAAGCATTTCTAGTAAGAGTCTTTGGCAGATATTTGATTGATCTATGCATGAAACACTAAAAGGATTCAAACGTGTAACGCGTTTACTAAAGTTGATAAAAGAATTCATTCAAATTTGTTAGAGATCAGATAATTTAGAGATCATCAAGTACTCTGACTCTGATGTTACAGGATGTCAAGGTAGCATAAGCTCTACATCAGGTTACCCTTCAGTGTTGGGTAGCATAATGACTTTGGTAAGTCATTGAAGGTTTTTTGACATAAAGTTCCTAAAGGTTAAAGAGGAAGTTCAAAATAGACAAGTTTCTATTGAACATTAAGGACATGACTAATGCTAGCTTGTCCATTAGCCAAAGGTTATGACACCTAAAGTTTTTCACGAGCACGTTGCTCACATGAATGTTATTCCGGATGGTACCTTGGTTTAGTGGGAGTCATTTAAGTATGTTCAATAGTTATGACTAAACTAATTTCTGCAGAATAAAGTGATGGTTTTCTATAGTCTATTTGAAAATTAAAGTGCCTTCAGTTATACAGTGATCATATTGTATGAAGGAATTTCAATTGATCTCACTAAGGACTAAAGTTGGACTAGTTGAAAATAGACATGTACTAGATCACTTTCCATGTAATTTTCATGCCACTCATCCACATTTTGATTTATGTCATTGAATGTATAAATATGGTGATCATGGTGGTTTAATCATTACAGTGTTGTGATTAAAGCCGCGTTGGTTCCATTGATATACATGAGATGGACCAAATTGTCAAGGAGTAGTCATTGTACGGATAACATACGGTAGCGCGCCTAAAGAATTTCGTAATATACGTGTGTGAAAATTAGATAGCCCAAGTGGGAGATTGTTAGGAAATTCATTTCCTAACCTAAGTGGGCCACTAATTTTAGAACACACTATATTTGTTATTTGATTTGATGGGCTAAATAAAGTGGTCCATTCATTTGAGCCCATGACTACTTGAACCCAATGTGGGTCCAATGGGTGAAAACCCACAAATAAGTCCACATATGGTGTTATGGGAGCCATGGTGTGACTTATATATAAGGAAGTTGAGGTTGTAGTCCCCAATATACAAAGTTCAACACACACACATTCTCCCCATCGGAATGCGTGAGATTGCCTGAGAGTGGGTTTGAGGGAGCTTGGTTGAGGAAGACTGTGTAACCTCCCGGGTCGTGCACTAAGAGGCATCGTCCGGAGATTGATCGTCATCATTTCCGCATCTAGTTTTAGACGGTCATCATGAATCCAGGTATCTCCTACTAACCTTTGATAATCTAGCATTATGATGATCCAGTGGATTGCTCGAATATATTTTGTTTATATTCTACAAGTGATATTCGGAAAATTATTTGTGCTATTGTGTTATATCTATCATTACCTCCCTTTACTAACCCTAACTGGTCATGACAGAATAAGGAAAAGGAAAGAATCGATTTGACCAAGATAAATCTTCAACCAAAAAGTAGAAAGAATCATAAAGATAAAGCCCAAAATCATCTAAACCAATAGATCGAGCGAGCTAGTTTACTTCCGCAACCAAGATAAATTCTCAAGGACCAGTAAAAAAGGGAAATAGAATCCGCATAATGAAAGAAAAGGAAGGCAATACGAAGGAATCTCTATTATAAGTAGTAGGTAGTACCACTTGACCACTACAAGCAAAGCTAGCACTAGTTTCCCCGGCCGTACGTGCCCTTAATTACTTGGTTTCCGCCACCGCCGTCACAATTTCCACAATGCTGAACTTGTACCACTCTTCTTCCGTACTGGTGGCCGCCGTCCTCTTCCTCATTGCCACCGCAGCAGCCTCTGCCTCGCGGCCGGTGTACAGCGTGACCAACTACGGTTCTAGGGCGGACCCGAAAACGGACTCTACGACGGCGTTTTTGGATGCATGGAGCCGAGCCTGTAGCGACCCACGACCGTCGACGGTGTACGTGCCCAACGGGAAGTTTTACATCCGAAACGCAACGTTTGAAGGGCCGTGTAGGAGCAACGATACCTTGGTGCGTGTAGACGGAACCCTCGTAGCTCCAGCCGACTATTCCGTCATCGGGGATGCCGGCAACTGGATTCTGTTTCATAGCGTTGACGGCGTTAGAATCTCTGGCGGGATACTTGATGGACAAGGCATCGCTCTCTGGTCTTGCAAGCTTCACGGCCAGAAGAAGGACTGCCCCCTCGGCGCCACGGTACGTAAGTTTTGCTGCCTTCCTATTATTGCGAGTGTTCGCCAACCGTCGATGGAACAGTATTATTTTCTTAAATAAATTGAAGTTGTTTTAATTAGGGTACAATGTCATTTTCAAACTCGGTTTAATTTTAGTTCTGATAAAATTATAATATTTGAAAATCATTTTACTTGTTGCATTTATATATTATGCCATCAGATTTTTTTCCATCCTCTCCTCTCCTGCAATAAAAAGAGAAAGGTTGGTTGCTACCTATTGAGGAGCACATTTAATTTAACTAATGTGTAGTAAGGATATATACCGTTATATTTATTTTGTTGCTTTTTGAATTGTAAATCTAAGTTTGGAGATTGTAAAACAATATGGCTTGGTTTGTGAAATTTTTTTTATATATATTTTTCTTTTCTTTTCTTTATCTAATTAAATATCTTTATCAATAACTCTCAATGTTTTTTTGGTCATTCTGATTCTGTTGGTTACAGTTAAATATAAACTAATAGAATTTCTATTATTATTGAACGTTAACAATTGGTTTTTAAAATACTTTTTTCAACAACTCTAATATTTGAATGGTTATTCTCCAAACCCATGCTAAAAGACTAACTTTGTTAGTGACTTGTATTGTATGAATGATGCAGAATCTGCACATCTCCAACTCGAACAACGTGGCAATCGACGGCCTAACTTCCACCAACAGCCAGATGTTCCACATCGCCATCACCGGCTGCCGAAACGTGAACCTCCAGCGCGTGACCGTCACCGCCCCGGGAAGCAGCCCCAACACCGACGGCATCCACGTCGGGCTATCCACCTTGGTCTCCATCACCAACTCCACCATCTCCACGGGCGACGACTGCATCTCCATGGGCCCCGGGGCCCGCAACGTCTGGATCGAGCGGGTGGCGTGCGGGCCGGGCCACGGCATCAGCATCGGGAGCCTGGGCTGGACCTACCAGGAGCCCGGCGTCGAGAACGTCACCGTCAAGACCGTCAACCTCACGGAGACGACTAACGGCCTCCGCATCAAGACGTGGGGCCGCCCCAGCTCGGGTTTCGTCAGGGACGTGCTCTTCCAGCACGCCGTCATGGAAGGCGTCCAGAACCCCATCCTCATCGACCAGAACTACTGCCCCGGAAACCGCAACTGTCCCGGCCGGGCCTCAGGGGTCGAGGTCAGTGACGTCAGGTACTGGAATGTACGTGGCACGTCCAGGACCGAGGTCGCGGTGAGGATCGACTGCAGTAAGGCAAACCCCTGCTCAGGGATACAGATGCGAGACGTGGCGCTTGCTTACGTCGGCAGCGGCAGTGGTAGTGCTAGTATGGAGGCGGCCGCGGCGTCGTGTACGAATGCAAGGGGTACTTCATTGACTTATGTGACGCCAGTCGTCAAGTGTTCGTAGGGCTTTCAATATATATATATATCCTAGCTACGAGTTTTGGGTCATCGGCTGGGAAATGTTTTGGGTTTTAGGGTTTATATATTATTATTTATTTATTTATCTCCATAAAAGAACAAGTAAGAAGTTACTAATAGTGTCCCATCACAAATGTGATCATTTTGTATTTAACCAAAATTTAAAGGAGCTTTTGGGTTGGTCCAACTCATATGGTGGTTGGATTAACCGGTTTGAGTTTGAATTTTGGTTGGTTTCTAGAAGATCCTCTATTTTCAAAATAGAGAGTTATTGTCTAGTCAAAAGTAAAAGAGAGGTGACATCCTTTCATTTTTAGAGAGAGAATCAGAAAAGAGAAGAGATAAGAAAAAAGAGAGAAGAGCTGTAGTTTTTCGTTTCTACAGCAGGGCAGCCTGTTCAAGTGAGCGTTCTGGACGATTGAACCGTTGGACCGTCCTGAAATTTGGACAGTGGGTTCGCAATTGTCTGGGCTTCATTATGACCGAAGGGATCGTCATTTTGAGGTCTAGTTCGTCGGGAATCGCTGCTGGACAGAAGGTATACGAATCTGTTTTTGGGTATCTCTCAACCTCTCTTTGTCTTGCTCTTGTTCTTGTTATCCACCATGTTGGTGAGAGCTATTGTGGTTGATTGTTGATCCAAGAAGGGTGTTCTTGAGGTGTTTGTAATCCTCTAGCTAGTCTAGAGAGGACTTGTAATCCCACCAAAGTCTAGTGGAGTTGTGGCTTGGACAAAGGTCTCGTGGTTTTTCCCGATTTGGGTTTTCCACGTAAAAATCGTGTGTCTTGTGCATTCTATTCTTGCTTGTGGTTGCTGCCCGGTTTCTCAACACTTTTATGCCATTAAGGTTTCAATAAATTAATTTTATGTCATTAAGATTCTAATTAATTAACTTATGACAATTGAATCCTAAATGCACTCAAATCAGTGGATATTCGACATAATTCAACCAGTTTAAAGTGAGTTGAACTCAGTTTTTATAAATTTTCGGTCGACAACGAGTTTTACACGTGTATTCGACCCGGTTAAGGCGAGTTTAATCCAGTTTTGACAACTTTTTGGTCGACAACAATTTTTTACACGCATGAATTGTTGAACCGGTATTGACAAGTTTTTATCAATGTGTATTCGTCCTCTTTTTATCAATGTGTATTTAACCTAATTCGACCCGGCTAAGGCAAGTTGAATTCGGTGTTGACGACTTTTTTGTCGACAATAATTTTTTACACGCTAGAATCAATGTTGAACCAGTATTGACAAATTTTTGGACGGTGTTGACAACTTTTTTGTGGACAACAATTTTTTACACGCTAGAATCAATATTGAACCAGTATTGACAAAATTTTGGTCAACAACAAGTTTTACACGTGTATTATACCTAATTCGACCTGGCTAAGGCAAGTTGAATTCGATGTTTACGACTTTTTGGTCGACAACATATTTTTACATGCTTAAATCAATGTTGAACCGGTATTGACGTATTTTTTGTCGACAACAAGTTTTACACTGTTAAATTAATGTGTGCTCGACCTAATTCGACCCGACTAAGGCAAGTTGAATACGATGTTGACGAATTTTTGGTCGACAATCATTTTTTACACGTTTGAATCAATGTTGAACCGGTATTAACAACTTTTTTTTGTCAACAACGTGTTTTACACGCTTAAATCAATGTGTGTTCGACCTAATTCTACCCTATTAAGGCGAGTTGAATCCGGTGTTGTCGACTTTTTTGTCGATTGCAATTTTTACACACTTGAATCAATGGGTATTCGACCTAATTCGACCCGGTTAAAGCGAGTTGAATCCGATATTGGCAAATTTATGGTCGACATAAAGTCTTTGTTGTTTGCTTTGGTTTTGGTTTTGACTTTGAACTTATTACTATTCTCATTCAAGTTTTTTTCTGTTTGCTTTGGTTTGTTGCAGGCGGATCGTAGGCAGGGAAATCTGGAACATACGAATGAGGAGGAGCAAGGTCCGACACCTTATTGGAATTGTATTTAAGCTCCAAACGATATATGGGAACAAATTGCTTATATATTATGAAGAGCGATGCAAGCCTGATTTTGGAGAACCTTCTTCTTCTAGTAGGATCCCATTTGTATGTTGAGATGCTTTGAGTAATAGAACTTTCGATAATCAACAACACAAATATAATTTCTCTGATATGTTAGGTGAATGGGGTACTTGACCTGGTGATTAGTGTGCTGGAAAGGAGTGACCAGTTGAGACAATTATGTGATTGGAAGAGTTCATGAAAATTAAACTCATCCATGCTCAAGTTCAACAAGGTCATGGGCATTCGATATTCTTCGCGGTAAAAATTAGTGATTTCAACATTGTGGGAGGGTAAGTCATGGCTACCCAGGTTAGTTTCTCTGCAGAATGAATCGGCTTCAGATTAGGACTCTGATGCTGAGAGATGTATGGAACTTTTAACTTAAACTAGAAGAAGAATGTTGAATAAGTTGAAATTAAAACATTATTAGATGGACCTTGAAGTTTACAGTTCCATCTGTGGTTTACATGTGTGTGATAAGCTTTTGGAGGGGAGAGAGCTGGAGTTTCGATAATATAAGGAGGTTTACAGGAAATTTTGAAGGTCGTTAGAGAGGTCAGCTTTCCATATACTTTCCAATGTGAGAACCAATTCATGTGAATCTTATATAAGAATTAATAAAACTATATTTGACAAGACATCTTTGAAGTCTGCAAGCTGATTTTAGTAGCTTGACATATATATAGTCATTTGATTTAAAGATTCAGTAATGATTATTGTTAAGTCCTATATATACCGAAAGTGTTGTGACGTTGGTCCAAGGCTTCAAGATGAAGTAGTAGTCGGGTTTCATTGATGGTCCCTATATTGATTGGAACATTGTATCATCAAGTTAGATATGATTAAATATATCATGTCCCTATTTTGCTTAGACTGGTGTGCTTCATGAATCTGCTTGCCTGTATTCTTCTTCTTGATTCATGATTTGGATATGATGTCGAATTTCCTAACTTATTTTGAGCAACTCATTTTTATATTTGGAAGTGGTGGTTGTATGGTCTTTTGGCACTAAATGGATGTTTGATAATCGCACTAAGGGAGATATGTGATCAAGCTCCCTGTTTCCTTTCAAATTCTTGGTTGTAGGCAATATATTGATTTCGATTCATAAGACACGTTAGTGCTTTTTATTGCATATAAGTAATCTGCAATCCAGAGGTTCATTTTGTTTGTCTTTTGTGTGATGTGGTTCGTTCATTAAAGCAGGTTCTTTCTGTTCATTCAACAATCCAGGTCTAAAATAGTGATTGTTGATGCCCAGTTCGCTTTGTTGGAACCAAATAAGAATGCCACGATAGCCTGATGACTCGATATTTGCACATGTTTTCCCCTGTGTTTCTTGATCGTTTGAGCTTTAATTATCACATCTTTGGCCTATTTTACGCTAGGTTGTGTTCCTTTGTCATATTTCAGGTCCTAGCACATAAAGTGAAGCATAGGCGCAAAGTTCAAGTCAATCAGAGATCAATTGACGATTCGGGAGAAGAAACTCGGGTATGACCTGAAGAAGAATGGATTTCTACCTCACTTCATGAACAAAGAATCATGCAAGCTTGTTATGAAATGAAAGAGGACGAGACTACGAGCGTCTGGGATCAAACGGCGACTGATTCGGAGTCCGGACGAGGGAGAAACGAAGCATTGAACAGGCTCGGCAGTGAAAACACGGGCAGTAGGCCTTCAGAACACGGCCGTGTTCTGTGATCGTGTTTTTACTGCCGAGAGCTGATTTGAGTTTGGCCAACTCGAGCTGAAAACACGGGCGGGCTGAGGCAAAGCACGGCCGTGCCCTCGACCGTGTTTTGCCCAGAATCGGGTTTTTTAACCCAAATTCGAGCCAAAGGAGAGGGAGAGCTGGGTTTTGGATCCCAAACACCCAAGGGACGAACCAAAGAGAGAGGGGGCGATTTGAGGGCATTCTTGGAGTGAAATTGGAGGATTTCTTCGCCTTGGAAGCTCGAGGAATAAGCCCGGACTTGAAGACTGATCATCTGAAGATTCTTACTGCAGTCTCTCTCTTCTCTATGGAGTAACTTCCCTTCACTTAGGTTTTGAGGAACCCTAGACATGTTTGTTGGATTGGATGATTGTATGAGTACTCTGACTTGGTAATCTTGAGTTCATATTCAATCTATGCATGTTTTCATGATTCAATTCTGCTTTAGTCGAGATTATTGATTCTGCTTTGATCCTATGAGAGCGAATACCTGATTAGGTCAATAGAGCACCATAGATTGATAGTATTGGATCGATTGCTTTAGTCGAGGGTTGATTCAATGCTTTGTATCGATTGAGAACCTCATTCGATAGAGGGAATCTAGTTCAGAACGCCTTGATCAGTTGTTCTAGAGAAGGATACGTCCCTTTAGGCAATTGACTCAAGAGGGCCTTGTTCCTTTAGTCGAGACTCAAGGTCTAGTCAAGGATTCTCCGCATTGTGAATGAAAGTGAAACAAGTTAGAGATCATCAATCGTTAATCTGGCTAGTGGCTAGGGGGAATCATACCTAAGTGAGTTCCCTACCTGTAATTAGATTAACTTTAACTGTAGTTTGCTAGAGTAGTTTTAGTTCTTTCATCTTAATCCGGTTTGCTAGATAATGAACTGAAGCTGAGTAATAGTAACTCTAGAGACCCGTGGATTCGATATTTATTACTTGAGCCACTATACTGCAGTCCCTTTCATTGGTTACACTTGGCCACTGTTAGGAGTTGTGTTTTAGCGAGTCAAGTTTTTGGCGCCGTTGCCGGGGACTTTCTAGATTATTAGGAAAGGCAGAAGTTTGTTACTTTAGCGTTTTTCTTTTGTTTTCCACCCTTGCTTTTCACTTGGGTGTTTTTGTTTTTGTTGGTGCAGATCTGAATCATGGATCCTCATGGCTTCTCCAACCATTGGGGGTATCCACCACCATCCGAGTGGTATT